CTCGCCTACGTGAAGTCCGAGCTGCAAAAGAGACACACGTGCACTGACCTGGGTGAACTGCGCAGCTACCTTGGCTTGCAGATCACCCGGGACAGAGCACGCCGCACCATTACCCTGACTCAGTCACACATGGTGCAGCAGGTCCTTCAGCGCTTCGGCTTCACGTACTCCTCGCCTCAGGCCACTCCTCTGCCTACTCGCCACTCGCTCTCAGCTCTGCCTTCGGATGAGTCTGTAGAGTCGAGTGGCCCGTATCCAGAGCTTGTTGGCTGCCTCATGTACCTGATGACCTGCACACGACCTGACCTTGCATACCCTCTTAGCATTCTCGCACGCTATGTTGCTCCTGGGAGACACCGACCAGAGCACATGGCTGCAGCGAAGAGGGTGTTGCGCTACTTGTGCAGTACGTCGGGCATGGGGCTAGTGCTTGGAGGGCAGAGTCCAGTGGTCCTCACTGGGCACGCAGACGCTTCTTGGGCTGACGACCAGGCTACGCAGCGGTCGTCACAGGGTTACACTTTCAGTCTTAGTTCCGGCTCTGTTTCGTGGCGGGCTACCCGCTCGTCTTCTGTTCTCGGCTCCAGTTGTGAGGCTGAGATCTACGCTGGGGCTATGGCTGCCCAGGAGCTTCGCTGGCTCACCTACCTGCTGACTGACCTTGGAGAGCCGCCTCGTTCTCCTCCAGTCCTGTACGTAGACAACAAGGCCATGCTGGCCTTGTGTCGAGAGCAGCGACTGGAGCACAGAACAAAGCACATTGCTCTCCGCTACTTTCTTGCTCGTGAGCTACAGCAGGGTAGACAGTTGCGGCTTGCGTACGTGGCCTCTGAGGCCAACACTGCTGATGTCTTCACCAAGGCACTTGCGCCTTGTGATCATCAGCGCTTCTGCACTCAGCTGGGTCTTGTGCCTGTCTTGCCTCACTTGCTCACTTCTTGACCTTGCTTGTACTGTCACATATATATACTCTTGCTCTTGCTTGCTTAGCCTCTTGTATATATATATGTGATCTTGCATGTGAACTGGCCTTCTGGCCTTTGAATTTGTGCTCGGAATGTGTGGTGACTTTGTGATCCACCCTGAGCTTTGCTTTGCTTTGCTTGACTGGTCTTGTGACCCCTTGTTCTCCCCCACTTTGCCTATGGGGGTGTGTCAGAACATTATAGCTTATATATTTGTGTAGGCTATAGTGGGGTATCCCATAGGGGGTACAACCCAATCAGGGTTTCCTATATGTACTCACTTCATTCATAGTTCATCCATTCTCGTTCTAGTTTCTTTCACACCCCTAACTGCGTGCAGTGAAGAACCATGAGCAAAAACACCCCCGGAATTGGTGCACCAAGCAGAGCGCAGCAGAAGGAGAGGGCAAGTGAGGAGGAGGAGGGACTATGCGAGGAGAGGAGGTAGGAAGCGGCGGCTGAAGCTGCTGGCACACGGGCGACTGGAGCAACAGGCACACTGGCTACCGGAGCGCAATGGCACCTGACTACTGGAGTAACTGGCTCTGCGGCTACGCCGAGTGGCTGGAGCAACTGACCAACGGGCGACTGGTGCAACAAGCTCACTGGCTACCGGAGCACGTCGGCTCCGGACTACTGGCGCTGGTGGCTGTTTGAACATTATAGCTTAGTTATTTGTGTAGGCTATAATGGGGTATCCCATAGGGGGTACAACCCAATTAGGGTTTCATATTTGTACTCACTTCATTCATAGTTCATCCATTCTCGTTCTTTCTTTCACATGGTATTAGAGCTTGTTGGCTGCCTCATGTACCTGATGACCTGCACACGACCTGACCTTGCATACCCTCTTAGCATTCTCGCACGCTATGTTAAACCTGGGAGACACCGACCAGAGCACATGGCTGCAGCGAAGAGGGTGTTGCGCTACTTGTGCAGTACGTCGGGCATGGGGCTAGTGCTTGGAGGGCGCAGTCCAGTGGTCCTCACAGGGCACGCGGACGCTTCTTGGGCTGACGACCAGGCTACGCAGCGGTCGTCACAGGGTTACACCTTCAGCCTTGGTTCCGGCTCTGTTTCGTGGCGGGCTACCCGCTCGTCTTCTGTTCTCGGCTCCAGTTGTGAGGCTGAGATCTACGCCGGGGCTATGGCTGCTCAGGAGCTTCGCTGGCTCACCTACCTGCTGACCGACCTTGGAGAGGCGCCTCGTTCTCCTCCAGTCCTGTACGTAGACAACAAGGCCATGCTGGCCTTGTGTCGAGAGCAGCGACTGGAGCACAGGACAAAGCACATTGCTCTCCGCTACTTTCTTGCTCGTGAGCTACAGCAGTGTGGACAGTTGCGACTTGCGTACGTGGCCTCTGAGGCCAACACTGCTGATGTCTTCACCAAGGCACTTGCGCCTTGTGATCATCAGCGTTGCTGCACGCAGCTGGGTCTTGTGCCTGTCTTGCCTCACTTGCTCACTTCTTGACCTTGCTTGTACCTTGACCTATATATACTCTTGCTCTTGTTTTGCTTGACTCTTGTATATCTCTATATATGATCTTGCATGTGAACTGGCCTTGTGGCCCTTGGACTTGTGCTCGAAATGTGTGGTGACTTTGTGATCCACCCTGAGCTTTGCTTTGCTTTGCTTGACTGGTCTTGTGACCCCTTGTTCTCCCCCACTTTGCCTATGGGGGTGTGTTAGAACATTATAGCTTACTTATTTGTGTAGGCTATAGTGGGGTATCCCATAGGGGGTACAACCCAATTAGGGTTTCATATTTGTACTCACTTCATTCATAGTTCATCCATTCTCGTTCTTTCTTTCACACTGGCGTCACGACGGCTACCTCCTGTCAACCTCCCCCCATTGTCCCACACCCTTATTTCACATCCCCCCCCGGCTAGCACCACTCCCCAACCTCACCCACTCCATCCCCCCCTCAGCGGCAGCTGCAGTAGTGGGAGAGAGAGGAGGAGGAGGGGCAGCTGGTCACGCATACCCACCACCCCCATACCCCCCTTTACCCCCGCTACCCCCATACCCTCCACACGGCTGCACGCGCAGCAGGAAATCGAAGGAGGGGGGGGGGGGGGGGAAGCGGGCGGCATCACGACGTGCAGGGCGCGGGCAGGCAGTGGGGCGCTTGCAACGGGCAGGGCGCGGGCGGCAGGCAGGTCCAGGAGGGGCGGCGCGCGGGTCCCGCGGGGCAGCGCGCGAGCCCCGCAGGGTAGCGTGCGAACCCTCGCGCGCGAGCTTTGTAGGGCGTCGCTCGGGTCCAACGGGGGCGACGCACGGGTCTCGCAGGGCGACGCGCGGGTCCAGCGGGGCAGCGCGCGGGTCCCGTGGGGCGGGGCGCGGGTCAGGTGGGGGGACGCGCCGAGCAGAAAACCGCCGCGCGCCCCGAGCGCGCGGCACAGCAGCGGAAGCATAGGATGGGCCCACAGGCCAGGATAGAACGAGCTCTGATACCATGTCATAATCCTAGTTAAGGCTAAGAAGCCTTGGCTAGGGTTTAGGGTAGAAGGAGAGGATAACGAGAAGGTTGCCAAAGCAAAGAGGGGTTGCACTATAGAACTTGGTACAAGTTATAGGCAAGCATGAGGGTGCACCACCACACAAGAACATAGAACTACATTAAGTCTATACTACAGGCAGTTACAAAATAATGTATACAATTACATTTCAACAAGCTTCATGCGAGCTTGCTTCGAGGCGGATACGTGCTCGAAGCGCTCTTGTAAGGCTGTGCCCCACTCCTTCCACGTGCGTATCGTGGTCACTCCAAAGATTGATTGTGCCACTTGATTACTCACTGTTGAGGTCCCGTTTGCCGCATGTGTCACACCTGTCGGCGTCCCCGTTTCCAAGGTTAGGCGCCACCATTCAAGCGTTGCACCTCGAAGAAGCGAAACCGCGTAATTAATACGCGTGGCGGTGTCTTTAATTCCCGCTGCAGTGAAGAAGACCTCAACCCTGAAAAACCACCCCTTCACTGTAACCGTCTTGTCCGTAGGATTAATCCGGGGCGGGTTGACGGGTTTTATCTTGATCGTCGTTACTGCAACTGGCGCTGCTGCCGCTCGCTGCCTGTCCTCCTCTTCGAAGTCACGTGTGAGCGCGTCTAAGGGATTGCTCACCGCTTGACTGTTGCCCTCGCCTTCTTCATCGGGCGACACCTGACACGCTTCACCTCGCGTCTGGCACGGCTCGGCATTTTCTTCACGCAGTGTTGTCACTTCCGCCATTAATGACTTCATGCCCTCCTGCATCTCTGCCGCTTGCGCCATCAACCTGTTAACTGCATCCTGATCCATGTGCCTAGCGCTACGTCTGGTGGGCAATCGGGTATCCGTGGCCTTTAGGCAAGTGAAGATACGAACTATCGAAGTCGGGCAGGAGTGAATTAACAATCCTTGCGGCCAACCGTCGTGTAGTCACTAAGCCAGCCACAACCGTGCCACCAAACTACCCTCGGAAAAGCAGGGTGCACTAGGAAAGTAGCTCTTATACCAGGTGTTATGAGTTGTTAAAGAGAGTGCGCAGGTAAACGAATAACGAGACGTTGATTTACTGATCTGAGAATACAATGAAGGCACAGACTAATGTAGGGACTAGCCTAGCTAGGAGGGAACCTCGGAAGAGCGAGGTTGGGTGCAGGTTTGGCGATTGGGAAATGCCGAAGGCGACGCGAAGAGCCTCGGCAGCGTTGAAATCGGCCGAACGTGCTAAGTCTGAAAATCGTGCTGTACGCGAAGCAGTCAACTCCGATAAGGAATTCAGGAAATTTCCTTACAGGTGTCATGTGTGCAGCAGTTTGTGGGGGATGTTGCATGTGGGGTCTATGCGAGTACGAAGTCCGCATATGCCCCGCACGCATCGTCCCCCACAAACTGCTTTGCACGCGCCAACCTTTTGTTAGGGTCATGGAAAACACATTCTCCCTCACGGCTTGAGAAACACAGCATCCTTCTCTCATGATTTTTTTTTGAATTTCAAACGGACCATTGTTTCACCTACCTTTCCGTCTCCCTAACAGCCTGTCCATGTTGCCCAGCCACTCTTCCTACACTTCCCTCGTCCTCTCCCACTGCTCTTCCCTCTCGTTTTGCTTCCTCCGCCCCTCCTTCTGCCATCCACTCTTTTCTCCCTTTTCCCTTCTTCCTGTCCCATCGTCCCCTCCCTCTGCCCCTCCCTTTGTCCCTCCCTTTTCCCTTCCTTGTGCCCCTTGGCATGCTTCCCTTTTTGCTCCTACCCCTTTCCCTCCTTGTTCCTCTCCCCCTATTCCACACCCATATCCCCCCCAAGCTCACTTGGAGTCCTTCTCTGTTCTTCCTTGCATCACTACTGATGAGCTAATTTACAGCTATGACTCAAAAGACTTGAGCTCAGACATTCTTGTTTCTTGTGGTTCTCTCTACTCCTCTCCCTCCCTCATCTGGTGTGGGTGCAGTGTTTGCTTGTTACGCTATAAATGTTTGTTTATGCCAATCTTGGTGCTATACTCGTTTACCAGCTACATTGCACCTGTAACACTATGTAATGACATATTTGATATTCAGTCTTCGTATTACAAGTAGTAATAGCACTCAAGAATGAAACTGGCTCTAATGCACCAGCTATACGTTTCACTTCGTTAGATTTACCCAAACGAATGACATACATACTCAACTCAAAGATACTAGAATGTTTTGTTTTCTGAACGAAACACTCACTGCCTGGTTATAGTTGTTACGGAGCAGCCCCAATTCATCCCAGTCACGCTTAGGAGGGAATGTTAGGAGTCGGGACTGAGCAACGTGACTTACCTCTGCACAAAGCTCTTCGATTTCATGTTGCCCTGCAACTTTGCCGCTACATTGACCCGCGAGCGACTACTGAGACGTTCCTGAAAAAGAAGAAAACGACCGACGACAAAATATGTTCACGATTGATGCATGTGCGTGGATCTGCTGCCCATGATAATGGCCAGGCCGCGAGTAGGAGTACGTTCAGGCCGTCGGCTGACCGCGGTGCTGTTCGTGTCGCAGCTTCTGCTGTTACGTTTCGCGAATGCGTTCGCGAAAGTAGACGAATTCGCTCACGGCGGGCGAATCACCGCGGAAAGCCCTCGATATTGGAACGGAGCCCGGCGGCTGACAACGTACGCCGACCTAATGGGCGAGCGGAGTTCCCCAGACCCTGATACAGCAACATCCGCCAGTGAACCAGCAGTCACCACGGCCACCCCCGCTACAGTCACATCCGATACAGGTGCTCCCGTGACCGGTTCGATCAGTCACAGCATCAACTCCGGTGCGGGTGTAGCTGCCCCCGCTGCAGTCACATCAACAGCCAGTGTAGACGATGCTGCGGAGGCTGGCGCTACTAGCAGCGACGCCGCTGCCTCTGCAACGGATTCCCCGAATTCCTCGACGCGCACCACCACCTCTTCTCCCTCTTCGTCCTCTTCCCCGCCGCCTTCGCCTCCTCCCTCTGGGAACGCGCGTCTGCCTGCCGCCACGGATCCCTCCCTCCACTCTCAAGACTCCTCCCATGCCTCTCCTTCGTCAGACCCCACTTCGCCGTCAGATGTCTCTTCGTCTTCGTCGGCAGCAAGGGCGGATAGCAACGCGGGAGGAAACAGCCTCCCAGACTCGAGCTCCCTCCCCCGACCGCAACATCTCACTCCCCACACCCGCCCCAGGCGTCACCCCGCACACCCCCCAGTCTCCGCCCCCCCCTCCGCACGTGCGCCTGCGGGTTCCCCCCAGGGGGGTCCTCAAGGCAGTGTCTCCGGGGAAGCTCCCTCTTCGCCTGGCGGTGATGGGGGAGAGACTTCAGATGCCACGTCAGATGAAACATCAGATGCCACGTCAGATGCCACATCAGATGCCACGTCAGATTCCTCCTTGCAGAGCCCTCCGCACGCCCCTGCCTCTGATGCCGCCTCCCCCAGCTCGCCCCTGCAGCCCTCCGCCTCTGATGGCTTCCCCCCGGAAGAAGATCTTGGGGGGCAAGCGGGGCAGGGGGGGGAGGTGGGGCAGGTGGGGCACGGGGAACACGCGGGGCACACGGGGCATGCGGGGGGAAGAGGGGGAGGGCGGGAGGAGGTGCGGTGGTGCTGCGTGGGGCGGGGGGAGTGCGCCTTCTGTGGGGAGGTGGTGCCGGCACTGTCCACTCACAGCCAGCTGTGGTCCTGGTGGGTCAGCTGTGGTCTTGGTGGGTCAGCTGTGGTCCTGGTGGGTCAATTGCTAGTCCTGGTGGGTCAGCTGTGGTCCTGGTGGGTCAGCTGTGGTCCTGGTGGGTCAATTGCTGGTCCTGGTGGGTCAGCTGCTGGTCCTGGTGGGTCAGCTGTAGTCCTGGCGGGTCAGCTGTGGTTCTGCTGGTGGGTCTGCTGTGATCTTGGTGGGCCAGCACAGTGATGATGGTAGCAAAGGACATGACAGTCGCATCAAGATATGACAGTTGCATGGTCGCGCAGGACAGGACAGGACGGTAGCATGGAGAGATTAAGCATGGGCATTTGACCCGACCCGGCCCGACCCGTCCCGTTGAGGGCGACCCGTTAGCTTAACGGGTCGGGTCGGGTCGGGTTAGCGGGTCGGGTTTGACTCTGTTTTGGTGACCCGACCCGCCCCGTGGGAACGGGTATTTGTGACCCGTTACCGGGTCGGTTACACCACGGGTCGGGTCGGGTCGGATCAAAATATGCTACATAGCAGCAGGGTATGGGGGTTAGGTCTGAATTGCTACATTGTAAACTACATGTTACAACTATATTCGCGCTGCTGAAGGTGGCGCCTTCGCGCTGCTGATGGTGGCGCCTTCGCGCTGCTGAAGGTGGCGCCTTCGCGCTGCTGAAGGTGGCGCCTTCGCGCTGCTGAAGGTGGCGCCTTCGCGCTGCTGAAGGTGGCCGCGATCGCCCTGTCCTAATGCGGTGCCGCGATCGCGCATATGCGGGGCGGCGATCGCGCCAATGCGGGGCCGTGATCGCGCTGAGCAAACGCGGGGCCGAGATCGCGCTATTGCGGGGACGCGATCCCGCCAATGCGTGGCCGCACGCGCGCTGCTGCGCCCCTGGTCGTGCGACGCTGCGAAATGGCGGGAGCGCCAAACCCTAACCTGAAGATAATATGCAGTTTAAATAGTGCTAACATTGAAGAGTGAAGACTGTATGAGGCTCCCTAGCTGCAGCGCAGAAGTACTAGCCTTGATCTAGTCTAGCGACTAGATCAGAATGTCGAGGGAAAAAAAACCTAAAAAACCAACCAATGTTCAACCCCTACCCTAATCCGAAAACGGGTCGGGTAACCCTGTCATTTGACTGGGTACGCGACCCGGACGGGACGGGTCAACCTGACCCGGCGGGTTGCAAAAACCCGTCACTAAATCACAGTGACGGGTCACGGGTCGACCCGACCCGTCCGGGTTTTCCCGACCCGACCCGGGCGGGTCGGGTCGGGTTACCCGACCCGTCCGGGTCAAATGCCCATGTATAGGAGAGATATACAGTTTGCGGATTTGGTAATCCAGAAGGATCTGGTTGTCACTGTTCCTTCAATGCGTTGCAGAGATAGAAGCATCTCAAAATCAGAGGGCAAATTGTGTGACTGTGCATGTGACTGTAGCACACAATTTGCCTTCTGATTTTGAGATGATTATAACTCTGCAACGCATTGAAAAAACTGTGAGAACCAGGTCGTTCTGTTTTTACCAAATCAGCAGACTGTATATCCCTCCATGCCTCTGTCTTGTCCTATCCTGTGCGACCATGCAACTGTCATGTCTTGATGTGGTCGTCCTGTCCTTTGCGACCATCATTACTGTTGCTGTGCGAACATCATCACTGCACCCCCGCCCTGCTCCGCTCTGCCCCCCGCCTCCTCATCCCAGTGTGCAGTGGCACAGCAAGCAGGAGTGCATGGGCGCCATAGCGGCCAGCCATGCAGGGTGAGTGTTCCAGCGGCCGATCAATGATCAAAATGCATTGCCCTCGTGCCCACCCTGCCCCTCCCCACCCCAGTGCGCAGCGGCGAGATCATAACTCGAGATTGTTTCAATCCCCTCATCCCCCCCCTCTTCCCCTCATCCCCCAACCTTTCATCCCCTCATCCCATCCCTACATGTGCTGCTCGCATGCACTCATGCTTTCTTGCCCCCATACCCTCATCCCTCTCCGCTTCATCCCAGTGTGCAGCGGCGTAGCAAGCAGGAGAGCATGCCATAGCGGCCAGCCACTCGGGGCGAGCAGTGGTCCAGTGGCTGATCGTTGATAAGCACGCCATGCCCTCATGCCCGCCCTGCCCCACACCCTACCCCAGTGTGCAGCGGCGCAGCAAGCAGGAGAGCATGCCATAGCGGCCAGCCACTCGGGGCGAGCAGTGTCCAGTGGCTGATCGTTGATAAGCACGCCATGCCCTCATGCCCGCCCTGCCCCACACCCTACCCCAGTGTGCAGCGGCGCAGCAAGCAGGAGAGCATGCCATAGCAGCCAGCCACGGGGGGCGAGCAGTGGTCCAGTGGCTGATCGTTGATAAGCACGCCATGCCCTCATGCCCGCCCTGCCCCACACCCTACCCCAGTGTGCAGCGGCGCAGCAAGCAGGAGAGCATGCCATAGCGGCCAGCCACTCGGGGCGAGCAGTGGTCCAGTGGCTGATCGTTGATAAGCACGCCATGCCCTCATGCCCGCCCTGCCCCACACCCTACCCCAGTGTGCAGCGGCGCAGCAAGCAGGAGTGCATGGGCGCGATTGCGGCCTCTCAAGCGGAGCTCGTCTCGTTAGACGCAGGTCTGGCGTTCCGAGCCTTCCTGCACGGCCGCATGAAGGCCCTCATGAGCGAGCGCCTCGCATGGGGGGAGGCCTACCCTGCTGTCGCTGTTGTGCGCAGAGATGTGTGCGATGCTAGCGATGCGGGGCGGGGAGAGGCGGGGAGTGAGGGGCTCACGTGGAGTGAGGGTGCTGCTGGCGTTGGTGGTGTGGGAGGAGATAGGGATGGGAGAGAGGGTGCGGTGGGTGAGGGAGGCAGTTTGGCTGTGAACAGAAGCAGTGGCGGTAGCAGTGGTGGTACTGGTAGCACTACACTTGGAAACGAAACTGACGCACAGACGATCCCGGGCACACCACGCGGCACCACCACCAGCACCACCGCCCCCACCTCTCCTCCCCACTCCCCAACCACGCCCCTGCTGTCCAGCATCCCGGCGGGCCCCTGGCAGCAGCTGCACCGCTTCAAGACGTGCCACCCGCTCTACGCCTCCGCTGCTGGCTGGGACCTCCCTGTGCGCTCCCTGCTTGCTCTTGACCTCGAGTCCCAGCTTGGGGGCGCTTTGGGCGCGCAGGGTGCGGGGGGTGGTGGGGGTGGAGGGGGTAGGGGGAGCAGCGGGGGCAGCAGCGGGGGAAGTGGGGGGTTTGGAGGCAAGGGGGACGTGGGAGGAGTGGGTGGGGGAAAGGGTGTAAGGGGAGGGGGCGGAGGAGGAAAAGGAGCAGGGCTAGGAGGCGGGTTTGCAGCGCCACCGTTTGTAGAAGGCGAGCCAGCGGATGTGACTCTAGTGAAGGCCGTCTTCCCTGAGTCGTGCGCCCCTGGAGGGGACGGCACCCTCGGCCCCACGCCTGCTGCTGCTACTGGGGGAGGAGGTGGGGGTGGAGAAGGGGTGGGAGAGGAAGGGGGAAACGTGGGGAGAGGGGACACGGGGCGGGTGTGCAGTGGGTGTGTGTCAGTGAACGGGCGCGGGACATGTGACGAGGAGGACACGTATGCGGGATTCCACGGCGCCTTCCGGTGTCTCATGGAGCAGGCGGGCGACGTGGCCTTCCTCAGGCTCGATACGCCGCTCTGGTTCGCCCGGGGGGGACGGTTCCAGCAGGCGTGGTCGCTGCAAGATCTGGGGGAGTTCCGCGTGCTGTGCCCGCCCATGGTGGGGGGATGCTTGGAGGTCACAGAGAACGTGGACGCCAACTGCACGTGAGTGGGGCAAGCAAGCAAGCGTGGGTGTGGGCAGCAGTATCAGCACGTGAGTTTCGACTGCTGTGCCCGCCCATGGTGGGGGGATGCATGGAGGGGAGAACGTGGACGCCAGTTGCACATGAGTGGGGCATGCGATAGCTGCGACTGTGCGTGAAGCTCCTGGTTGAGAAGCAGCAGCGTTGCAGCGGTTGAGCGCTGATAGCAGCGGATGAGTTTGGATGCATGTGCTTGTCGCTGGTGGGCAAGAGAGTGGCAATCACGGGTGGTGCGTGCAGAGGAGCCATGTCTCCCTGCCACTACAGCTCATGGCCCCTGTACCACCAGAGTGATCTCCGAGTAACTCAAAGGTCATACAGTGCGAGGCTCCCGTGCTGCTGGTGGCCGGCCGTTACCACACTTGCCTTTCGAGACATCTCAAAAGTCGGCCGTTGCCACACTCATGCGCAACACATGTACCTGCACCTCACTCTCTCAAACCAACGCTGCTCCTGCTTGTCAAACCCCTCTCTCCCCCCTCCCCCCCCCCCCCCCCCCTCTCTCTTTCCTGCTCATCGCCCCCCTTCTGCTACTTGATTCTGCCAGCTTCGGCAGTGTGCCAGCCAATGTGGTGATGACGCGCAACAGCATATCGGAGCGCTTCAAGCAGGCCATAGTGGCACGCCTGGAGCTGGCAGGCACAGTCAAAGCATGGCGCGAGGCACTATACGAGGGCCGCAACCCCTTCGACTACATCCTCTCCGGCAGGTAGGCGCCGTGCCAGCCAGTGTCTGTATCTGCTTCAAGCGGGCCATGGTAGCAGGCGCCGTGGCTGGAGCTGGCAGGAACCGCCAGGGCGTGGCGCGAGGCACTATACGAGGGGCGCAACCCCTTGGACTACATCCGCTCGGGCAGGTAGCACCGTAGCACACCTCTCGCTGGTAACTCCCTCTCAACTCTCGGCAAGGTACCTCTCCCATCCACCATGTGCTCTATGACGGCCGCAACCCCTTTGACTAATTCTCTCTGCCAGCTAGGTGCCACTCCACTTTCCGTGTCTCCTTCTGAGACGTTTCCTTGGGCTAAATACTCTCTCTGGTATGGAGCTCGCCGTTGCCTGTGTTCTTCAGTGCACTGCACCCAGACGACGTTTGACTTGTGAGTCAACTCACAAGTCACTGCCCTGCTCCCCATGGTTCGTCATGAGTGCTTCCAAAGCATGCTTGATTGGAGGGGCGGGGCACCAAGTCCTGTGTCTGTGTTCTGTGTGGCTGCTGCCTCTGCCCCGCATCTACCTGTTCAGCCTTCCCTCGCTTGCCGGGCACTTTCCTTTCCTGCCTGTTCTGCATGGCCGCGTTGGGATGCGCAATGCTTGTGTCCCGCTGATTTGCTCCTGCTTTTTCCATTCGCTTACGTGCCGTGATCTCTCTGTCTGCCTCACTGATCAACATGCCGCTCAAAGATTGCCCCCCTCCTCACCCTCCTGTCGCGTGCAGTGCCATTGTTTGAGGCGCCCAAAAGATTACAACCGCGACCACGCTCCCCTTCCTTCCCACCCTAGTGCCGAATGCATGTGCCCCTCCTCATCCCCACTGCTGCCTGTTGCTCCCAGTGCCAAGGGGCTAGTGCGAGTGGACTCATTGACGCGGGCATATCTGGGCGGCATGGGCGAGGTGACAGAGGATATTCTGCGCTACAACCGTGACCACGCCCCCCCTCCACACCCCAGGCCCTCTCACAGATTATGTGTTTCTGGTGAGCATGCATGCCCTGCCGATTTAATGCCCCACCTGCTGTATCCCCACCTGTTGAAGCTCCACTGGCCTCGCCATGTTCATGCTTCATGTCACTGCTCTTGACTCCCGTTTCTGGAATCTGTGTTTGCCTCATCGCCACTCTCCGCTTTGCTTTGCTTGCAGGTTGGCCGAAAGCACTGCTGGCGACACTGCTTGCTGCACTGCTGTTTCTCTGAATGAGATTAAATCTGAGGACCTAAGTGGCTTCTGTCTGGCATGTTTCACCCAATCAAGTCCTCCAATGTATGCTTTTTGAGAAAGGCCTGATTCTGCATCCAAAAGAGACAGCATGACCGGAGATGAGATCAGGAAACCAGCAACTCTTGGTCCTTCCAAGACGTTCTTTTACAGCTCACACGTTAATGCTCGCCCATGCTCGACCTCGTGCAAGGACAGCAGCAGCTTATGTCGCTTTGTCCCTCACTCGAACCTGGTAACACCATAAGACGTGACATGAGCCTGATGTGCTTGTGCTGTGCCCATTCCCCATGCCCCATGTCCCATGCCGTGCACCATGCCGTGCACCATGCCATGGCATGCCATGGCAGTGTCACGCTGCCACCATGCTCAAACGTGTCTTGGATCCCAGCCTGCACGCATTGCTTCGTCTCGTCTACTCCCACCCTCTCCCCTGCCCTCGCTTATTTACTACCCAGTCCTCTCTCCGTCCTTGCACACACCTGCCGTACGTCTCTCCCACATACGTCATGCCCGTCCCGGGTGGAATATGCAGGAGTATGTGCTCCAAGCAATGCTGTTTCAAGCACTTGGGGAACATGAAACTTGCATACTGACAGTGTTTCAGCGTTCCTTACTATGACATTGAGTGTACAAGCTTTGCTCGACTGGCATGTGCAGACTCCAAAAGCCTTGAGAGACCGTCAACTAGAACATTCTTTCCCCACAAGCACTGAGCCTCGCAACACACACACCGCAGCGCACTGCACTACACCCCATCGCACCACACCACATCACACCGCATGAAGCGTTTGGACTAGAACATTCTGCCTCCACGGGCGCTGACAGCCTCACAGAGGCGGCAAGGGAAAGAGTCGAAGTTGAGTGCTGTGACATGGGCGAATGGGCCTGGCACTCCACACATGCGCCATGCGAAGTAATTCATGTACCTCACTGCACCGCAGCACACCGCACAGCACATGAAGGCAGGAGCATATGAAGGCACGAAATGCATAGGTTAGAGCACAAGAGCAGGCACAAGACAGGAGAAGCAATGCAGTGAAGATGCATGGATAGGATGGATGCAGTGGGAGCAAGGATGCAGTGGGAGCAAGGATGCAGTGGGAGCAAGGATGGATGCAGTGGGAGCAAGGATGCAGTGGGAGCAAGGATGGATGCAGTGGGAGCAAGGATGCAGTGGGAGCAAGGATGCAGTGGGAGCAAGGATGGATGCAGTGGGAGCAAGGATGCAGTGGGAGCAAGGATGGATGCAGTGGGAGCAAGGATCACATCACCAATTCCACCCGCATCATCATGGTGCCAGTACTGCACCTGAATCGTCATGGTTCCAATAATGCACCCGCATCATTACCGAGTGCAGTGACGAGTGTGGCAAGCTGCGCAGTCGTTTACTTGGTGACCATTGAGTCCGTGTTTGAAGTTGAGTCCCTGTTTGAAGTTGAGTCACGTGTGAGAATTCTCAAAAGAGAATGTCGAGACAACTATGCACCTGGGTCATTGTTGAGAGCGCAGTGATGAGTGTGGTGAGCAGTGCGGCCGTGTACTTGGAGTCATCAATGAACGACTCAGGCGGCATGAACTGGTGGATGTCGGGCACGCTCTGGTACACGGGCACGCTCTGGTACACGGGCACCGTGCCTGCCTCCAGGGGCTCTCCAGAGACTTCCCAGGAGCGGCAGCTGCTCTGCACCAGAGAGGTGACCACTGAGAAGCTGGAACATTCTGACAAGTGGGTCGTTATTCAGCGCAGCAATCAGTGTGGCGAGCCGGGCGGCCGTGTAGTTAGAGCCGTCGATGAACGAATCAGGCGGCATGAAGCTGTGGATGTCAGGCGCCCCATAGTACATGGGCACTGTGCCCGCCTCCAGGGCCTCTCCAAAGGCTCCAGTTGCTCCAGAGAGGCAACCTGAAAAACTCTGAATCAACCGAAACAACACACCTGGGTCATTATTGAGCGCAGTGATGAGTGTGGCGAGCTGTGCAGCCGTGTACTTGGATCCATCAATGAATGATTCGGGCGGCATGAAGCTGCGGATGTCAGGTGCACCATAATACACGGGCACTGTGCCCGCCTCCAGGGGCTCGAGGGCCTTCTCTGTGACGTAGCCCGGCACACGTGTGTTCTCGGTGCTGAGGATGAACTTGTAGTGCGACATGGCGCATGCTGATATCTCCTGCTTCAGTACGCTTATCACCCTGGGGGGTGGGGAGAAGGAGGAGGGGAAAGGGATGAGTTCACATGGGGGAGGAGAAAAGGGGGATGGGAGGGGGCGTGGGGGTGACAAGGCGCACGCTGTGATTTCCGTCTTCTGAATGCTTCTCATTCTGGGAAGGTGGTGCAGGGTATGGGGGGTGTATCCACATGGGGGCAGAGACGGGGAAGAGTGGGGGTGAACTTTGACATGGCACACACACGCTGCGATTTCCGTCTGCTGAATGCTTCTCACCCCGCCATGAGCATGCACGACGCTTGCACTGCATGCAACGTGGCGCGCTTATCTGCTTCTGATCCGAATGCAAGTCACTCTGGCCAAAAATATGCCTTTTGAGGCGCCTCAAAAGTGATCCGAATGCAGATCACTCTGGCCCGGTTGTCCCGGTTTAAGGGAGTATTTTGGCACACGAAGAGCCGGGCTTGGCAGGCAAAATATCATGTTTCGCAAAAAACAAAATTACATTGGAAGGTACAACAAGGAAGGTGCAGCGCATGCTTGTGACGTGGCTGTGATAGTCTTTTTTACCAGGTGTATTCACGAGTGCAGAGTTGATGAGAGGTGAATCCAATGGTCAAGAGGAGGTGGAGGACAAAAAAAGATTAAGAAGAAGCGGAAGAGGGCAGAAATGAAGAACGTAGCGGCACAACCACCCTCGAATCCTCCTTCACTTTGCTGTCCATTAGTTCGAGTGGAGAGCAGGAGATTCATGTTGTTGTCGCAGTGCCCAATGCCATTGCCACTTCCACTGAGGTTCCAAACCCCCCTCCCTCCCCCTTTCCGCTCCCCACTTTCCTGTGCCCCTCCCCTCCACTCACAGGTGGGAGCATGCAGGGTAGAGCAGCAGCTCAGCATCGCTGCCGTTCATGTTGCTGTCGCAGTGCCCAAAGCCATTGCCACTACCACCCAGGTGCCCACACCCCTCCCTCCCTGTTCCCACTCACTCCCCCTCCCTTTTTCCCACTCACGGGTGGGAGCATGCAGGGTAGAGCAGCAGCTCAGCATCGCTGCCGTTCATGTTGTTGTCGCAGTGCCCAAAGCTGTGGTGAGGCACCAGGGCGAACACGTCCCTCACCAGCCCCTCCCGCCACTCGTACTGGCAGTGGGAGGATGCACGGTATAGAGGCACGTCCTGGGGGGGAAGAAAGGGAGGGGGAAGGGGAATGGGGCGAAAGGGCGTTGTGTGTGTGAGATCGACAGACAAATAGGGCAGGCGAAGGGCAGTGACAGACACACGGCCCTCACCAGCCCCTCTCGTCACTTGTACTGGCAGTGAGATGATGTACGGTATAGAGGCACGTCCTGCGGGAAAGGGGGGAGAGAGAATGAGAGGGCGATACACAGGACAGGCCAGTGAGAGACACACGACCCTCACCAGGCCCTCGTGCCACTCGTACTGGCAGTGCGACGATGCACGGTACAGAGGCACATCCTGGGGGAGAAGAAGGGGAGGGGGAAGGAGAGGAGACGCGCAGGGCGCTATGTGTGATGGAGAGACAGACACACAGGGAGGGAAGAGGGGTACACACGTCCCTCGCCAGCCCTTCTCGTCTCGCCACTCGTACTGGCAGTGCGATGATGCACGGTACAGAGGTGTGTCTTGGGTAATAGGGGGAAAGGAAAGACTATGTGGGGGAGGCACATGGGGCAGGAAGAGGAGGGGCAGGGCAGAGAGGGATGACACACGTCCCTCACCAGCCCCTCTCGCCACTCATACAGAGGCACGCGGTACAGAGGCACGCGGTACAGAGGCACGCGGTACAGAGGCTACTCTGGGAGGATGGGGGCAAGGAGAGGGATGCAGAGTGGTGAAGACGATGATGGCATGGGTACCAGACATGGATTACCAGGACGTGGCTGTGACAGCATGGCACGCAAAGGGGAAGGGGAGGGGCACCCTGAGGGAGGCGAGGGGAGAGAGCGCAGGGGAAGCGGAAGGGCACTCCGTGTGTGAGGGAGGACACGTATTGTCCAGGGAAGTCTTGACCCCGTTGTGCTGGCCGGGAGGGCTAAGAGGGCATGAAGGCCACACCCTGCCTCCCCTCGCAGTGGCAGTACCAAGGCACGGTGCTGTGAGCACGGCATGTACGTGGTGCACCAGCCCCCTTGTGTGTACGTGGTGCACCAGGCCCCTTGCGTCCCTTGCACTAACCGTAGCAGGGTCGGTCCTGTCCTGTCCCACGCCCACGCATCTCTGACGGACCTGGCGCTTGATCTTGGAGAAGAACTGCCTTCTGCCGGTCTCCAGCGTGTGGTGCACGCCTGAGTAGGTGAGCTGCACGTCGCTGCTGGCGAAGGGCGACACGCCCACGTCGAAGAGGCGGCGCTTCTCCAGCAGCCCCCACGACTCCAGGTTCAGGTACACTCGTAGGGGCTGCCCTCTCGATCTGTCGGCAGGTGGGTCTGCGGGCCAGACATGCAGCGTGGCGTCTGCCTGGAGGGCCATGAGGGGCGACCACGAGATCTGAGAAGAGGGGAATGGGAATGGGGAAAAGGAAGAGGAGGGAGGGGGAAGGGAGTGGGTTGGGCTTGTGCGTGCGTGTGTGCAATGGGCGAGGGGTGGGTGAAGTTCTTGAGATGTTCGTGCGAGTTGGCGTGGCGTGAGTTGGCACGACATTATCGCGCTCTCGTGTGTAAACAAACGAGTTTACGCTTTTTAATGTCAACAGTGTGATGGAAAACAATATCTTTTTGCTCAAAACTACTGATGTATCACAACTCAAAAGACACTAAACTATTTGGTGAATTCTGTTTCTTTGGTCCTGGCAAGTGAAACCAACAGTGATCTGGCAAGTGGAAGCAACAGATACGCAGGTAACAACTGGCAGGTGAAAGCAACAAACACCTGGCAGGTGAAAGCAACAGTCACCTGGCAGGTGATGCCGCAGCGGGGGCAGTGGTAGAAGCCCTCCAGCTTGTGCGGCCACATCCATGACTCAGCGCCAGGTGGCAGCAGGATGGTGACGTGGCGCAGCTGCATTCGCCGACACGCCACCCTGTTGGGGTCCTGTGCGTGCAGGGTGCAAGGGGGGTAGTGGTGGGACAGGGGAGGGGTGGAGGGACAGGGGAGGGGTGGAGGGACAGGGGAGGGGTGGAGGGACAGGGGAGGGGTGGAGGGACAGGGGAGGGGTGGAGGGACAGGGGAGGGGTGGTGGAGAAAAGGACGGGTGGCAGGATGGGAGCATGCTGTGAGGCTCAGGTGGTGTTGTTGCAACACAGAGAGTCTCAGGAAGCACACACACTGGGTGGGAGTTGATGTGATGCAATGTGCATTGAAGAGAGGAGAGGGGGTCTGAGCATCGGCGATGTGTGTGGCGTGGTGCTGTGCTTCTTTCTGATTGGAATATTGAGGCACACTACCCGGCCTCTCAACAGTGGCAAAACCTCAAGGCCAGGGCCCGCTGCTGCTCCAGCAATGAATGGTTGCACCTGAGTTGACTTTTGGGTCGACTCAAAAGTCAACTCAAGGCCAAGCAAGCGGGCCCGTCCGCTGCTGCACCAGCAATGAATGGTTGCACCTGAGTTGGACAACAAGAAGTGGGCGAGCGTTGTGTGGACACGAACAAACAATCCTCAAGTTTCCCCGGCAGAAAAGAAAAAAGGATTTTTTTAGAACCCAACAAGAAAGCACTTGTCCCAACTTCCCAACCCAGCCTTGTATGTTCTCCTGCTACTTACCACTAACCCGATCAGAGCGCAAGCCTTCTCACGCCACCTGGGCCTAATTTGCCGCCCAAATACTGCCTCCCTCCCCACCCCCACCCCTCTCTCCCTCCCTAGAATATCTCCAACTTTTCAGTGGCGTTCATCAACCTGCCCGGCACCCGGCCAAGAATCATTCCCGCCCACGGGGCCGCGCCGCACCTGAAGACTGGAGCTTTTGGGGAAGGCGGAGGAGTAAGAGTACTTCTTGAGCAGGTCCCTGTGCTTCCACCTGAAGCGCGCACAGCCCACCTTCGCCTCCCACATCCTGCCAGCATTGGAGGGGAGGAAATGGAGGGGGAAGGAAAGGGGGAATGCAGGCAGGGAAGGGGAAATGGATGGCGGAGGGGAGAAAGAAAGAAAGCGGAACAGAGAGGGATTGAAGGGAGATGAGCGAAGAGGGAATCGATAGAGGAAAGAGAGAGAGCTGAGAAGGGAGGAACGATAGAAAAGGAGAGGAGGAGAGACGGCCCCACACAATCATGCCCACAGACGCTCATTGCACGCACACACTCACTCATTCACTCCACACACTCGCTTATTCACCCACTCCCTCATGCACTCAATCACTCACTCACTCACTCACTCACCCACTCACTCACTCACTCACCCACTCACTCACTCACTCACCCACTCACTCACTCACCCACTCACTGACTCACTCACTCACTCACTTGGCAGCAGCCTCGACATTGAAGCCAGCATTGGAGAAGACGGGAGCCGAGCCGCCATCGCCCAGAACGGGGATGCGGCGGGGGAAGGGCGAGGCGGAGTAGTACTGGGGGTCGTGCAGGGTGGACAGCAGCGACGGCAGCGTGCATGCCGCCCACGCCAGCAGCAGCAGCACCGCCAGCCATACCAGGCGCCCCGGGATGGTGCTCATAGGGGGTATCTGGAGGGGCAAGGTGGGGTGGCGGAGGGAGAGTGCGGGAGAGGTTGGGATGGGGAGGAAGGGAGGTGAAATTTTGTGGGTGGCAGGGATGCGGCGGGGTGAGGGCGACGCGCGAGGCAGGGCAGTAGGCGGGGTCGTGGGACGTGGAGAGCAGCGAGGGCAGCGTGCATGCATGCGATGCCTGCCACCAGCAGCAGCAGCAGCAGAGGCCATATCATGGCGGGTGGGATTTGAAGCGGTCGATGGCGGTGCCACACACAGCCATAGCAGACGGATTGGCATGGTGGTTGTCTTAACGGGATGTGGTGTGGGGGAAGGGTTGGGCAGAGGTGAGGGAGGAAGGCATCTGAGTCACGGCGACTCAAGGAATTGGCTGCCCATGGTAGTTGTGAGGGGGCTGTGTGGGACGGTGGGTTGCCGAGGGACGGGGAAAGACGTGGACGAGCAGTTGTACCTTATAAAGATCGTGATTATAAGCGCAGCTGTACTGTACCTTATCGAGCACCTCTTGCGCTTTATCCACAGCAGGCCTCAGCACGGGCCGAGCCGCATTCGCTATAATCACATACACGCTGAACCGCTGCAGGTACCGATGCACCCCTCCCGCCGCTGACGTCAGCGCCTGCGTCAGCAGAGGTGGCACTGTAGACAGCAGCCTATCTGCGACATCAACTGCCGCGGCCGCGATTCGCGGGCCGTGATCCACGGCGGCCCGAGGCCATTCCGCAATTGGCGGAGGAGGCCAGAGTGGGGTGGCGGAAAGCGCGGAGAGCGAGCGGAGGGAGGAAAGGCCGAGAGGGATGGATTCGGGGCTCATGGGGGGAAGGAAGGCGGAGGGGGAAGGAACATCGGCGGAGGGGGGCTCGAGTGCGATTTCTGATGGGCGCATCAACGGCGTAGCCGCGTGGTGAGATCGGATGAACGGTTGTATTTCGCTGCCGTCTCTTCCCGCTTCTCCTCCCCCTCCCCTTCCCGTTCCCCCTCTCGTCGCATGTTCCCCCCTACCGCCGTTGCCGTTCTGATAGCTCCCGCTTCTGCTGCTGTAAGGTGATTCGTCATTGGGATCGCCGCGATCAACGCTACTAACGGGGATGGTGGCAGGCGACGCGAGGCTCGCGCCGCTGTATCCTGATCGCTGCGCCGCAATGCCGTCGTTATAGTGGCCGCCGGCTGCGCTGCTGCTGTTACCGCGAGGTTCGCTTCGATTAGGGTTGCTCGAATGTGACTGGCGCTGCGCCCGCGACTGCGATTTAGCGTGCGACTGTGAGCGAGAAGAGGAGGAGGAGGAGGAGGTGGAGGCGCGATGCGATGACGCTTTGTCGCGAGGCATTTCGGCAACCTGCTGAGCGAGAAGTTACATTAGCGAAGACCAGAGTATCTCGTAAAGCCCCACCAAGTACATTCCGTTCCTCTGGGTTGAAACACTCCCGAGTCGCCCCTGTACCTTTCAGTCCGACCTTACATACATTCTGTCACCGGCCAAGTTCCACCTGTGAGGTCCAGGACAAAATGTTTATCCTATAAAACAACGTAACGTAATCTCAACACACATGTCGATGTAGTATAATGGTCAGTATCTCCGCCTGTCACGCGGAAGATCCGGGTTCGATCCCCGGCATCGGCGTCTTTTGCTGCTATGATAGTCATGTTAACCTTGGCTATGTTGAGGGAGTCTCTCAGTTCCACTCTCTTACAGATCAAGCCTCTTCCGTACCAACCAGTTGCATGCCACTAGGAAACATTACTCTGATCTTGGGGCATCAGATGTGGACGAGGAGGGAACCGCAATGGGACATGGGGTATGAGGAGGCAAAGAGGGTTGTGGAGGAAAAGGGGGAAATCACGGACCAGTGGGAAGAGGAATCGATGACGGACGGTGAAGAGTGTCTGGTGGAGGAAGGGGAGCTGACATATGAGGGGAAGGGGCACCGGATTAGTCCAGACTACCTGTTCGAGCTATTCAACTTCCCGGCAGCTGAACGGTGGCAATACATAGCTGCTGCAAAGGGGGATAGAGGCCGGATAGTTCCCGGTAGTTATTACAGCCTTAAAAAGGAAGCCCCTAAAGTTGCCTGCCCTGCCTTCGAAGACTTGCCAGTGTCACTCAACCACGAACTAGGGACGGACCAGGAGACAGACCTAAGGAAACTGCTGGTGGACTACCGGGAGGTCTTTGCTACGGAAGCAGAACCGCTAGGGACCCACCCCACTGTCCTCCATCATATTGCCACCGGGTCGGCCAAACCCATCTCCCACAAACCATACCGTGTGTCCCCCTCAGAACGAGCTCGGATAGAAGAGGAGATAGCGGCCCTCTTAGAGCAAGGAGTGATTCGACCCTCCAACAGCCCCTGGGCCTCCCACTGCATTGTCATCCCGAACAGGGACTTCGGGGATCGAGTGGTGATCGATTACCGGCCCCTCAATGCAGTGACGGAATCAGCGGACCAGTTTCCCATGCCGAGGATCGATGACATCCTCGACCGGATGACGGGGCCCCTGTACTTCCCCGTCCTCGACGTCAAATCGGCTTACCATACCAACCAGGTGGCCGAGGAGGACATCCCTAAGACCGCATTCGTGACCTCCTCGGGCCAGTATGAGTATGTGCGGATGCCTTTCGGTTTGAAAAATGCACCTGCCACGTTCCAACGCCTCATGACCACCATTTTCCGCACCCATCTTAACGCCATCCCCTATCTCGATGATATCATAGTATTTTCCAACAGTTGGGAGGAGCATTTGGAGCACCTACGGGATGTCTTCGAACGGGTGAAGGCCAACCACCTGCTCCTCAAGCCCAACAAATGCGAGCTGAGGTTCTACTCCACGATCTACTCGGGGCACATCGTGACACGGGATGGGGTGAAGCCGGATGCTGGAAAGGTGGAAGCGATCAGTGCGCCGGTGGATGTGAGAGGGGTCCGGGAGTTCCTGGGGTGCACCAGTTACTACCGGCAGTTCATCAAAGGGTATGCGAAGGTGGCGCATTCCCTCACGCAACTGCTGCACAAGGACCACCCGTTTGAGTGGACAGATGAATGTGAGAAGGCATTCAATGCCCTCAAATTGGCTCTAATCTCCCCACTCATCCTTGCATTCCCAGATTTTGCTGAGCCCTTTATCCTCCAGATGGATTTTTCTGCTACGGCCTTGGGGCCCATCCTAGCTCAAAAGGATGGAAAGGGAGCGGAACGAGTGGTGGCGTACGCTAGCCGTACGACAAGGGGGGCAGAGAAGAACCTGTCGTCCACCCACGGTGAGTGCTTGGCAGTGGTGTGGGCCATCAGACATTTCCGGCCTTACCTCTATGGGAGCCGGTTTCTGCTGCAGACCGACCACCAAGCCCTACCGTGGCAATTGACGGCCAAGGATTAACGAGGAAGTTGGTCAGGTGGAGTATACTCCATCAGGATTACGACTTTACCGTCTCCTATTGACCTGGGGAGACACATCGGAATGTGGATGCACTCAGCCGCATGCACCAGGGGCTGCATCAACAGTCTGCAAGGGAGGCACTCTCATATGCACACTCACCTCCCTTGTCCCCCACCTCAAAACCCATCCCCATGTTCACAAATCTGTTCCCACGATCACCCCCACCACCACCAGCTAGGGAAGGAAGCAGCAACTCGGTTGATGGGGAAGAAGGGGATAGTGGTGAGGAGGAAGATGAAGACGAGGTGGAAGCCCACGAGCCGGAGGAAATGAGTAGCAATATGGAGAAACGGGAAGGGGAAGAAGAATGAGAAGTCGGACAAGCCAGATCCGAGGAGTTCGGGGATGGAGAGGGTGATGAGGAATCGGGGGAAGAGGGCGATGAAGCAAATGGATCCGGGGATGAAGATGGCGAGGACGAAGGAGAGGATAAGGAGGAGGAGGAGGAGACGGACAAGGAAGATGAGGAGATGGTGGCCCCAGGAGTAGGAGGGCAAGAGAATGACCCTAAAGGGTCCGAGGAGAGGAAGCCGTCACTGCCAATGACGCAGCCTCTCAAAAAGGTCAGACGGGATTAGGGGAAAATGAAAGAGGAAGCCGGGCCCTCGAAGGAGGATGGCGCTCAACCGGGGGAAGCAGCTATGGCCTCAAAGGGGGATGGAAAAGGGGCTGGGGGAGTTGGACCCCCACACGGAACCGAGGATGGAGAGCAGTCGGGTAAAAATCTCGCATCCGAGACGACCACGCTAGACATATGGGACGACCTCAATACCCTGTTCTACCTGGAGTGCGGGGAGGTTGATCCGGCATGGACTACGGCTGAGAAGCGGAGGGTGTGGGGTTGAGGAAAGAAGTTCGAACTACGGGATGGAGTGATCTAGAACCTGAAGGCAACGGGGATAAAAAGCTGGTCCCTAAGAAGGAGGAAAGGGGGGAAATCATTAGTATCCTTCACGGGCTGGGGCACCTTGGGGTCCAACGCACCACCGACTTGGTTCGGAAGCAGTACGACTGGTACGGCATGGGGAGTGACGTATCAGCCTTCGTACATGGGTGCAATACCTGCACTTTCCCGAAGGGATCTTGGACGACAAAAGGGGAGCTGCGATCGGTCCCGGTAACAAAGCCATAGGACAGGGTAGTGATCGACTTCGTCGGCCCACTACCACTGACGGAAAAGGGGGGAAACCGGTATATCATATCGGCTATGGACCACTTCACCAAGTGGCCCGAGTGCAAGGCGGCGAGACAAGCGGATTCGGCGACAGCAGCCGCATTTGTAGCTGAAAAATCATCTTTGCACATGGCTGCCCGCTGGTGATCCACACGGACAATGGGCAGCACTTCCATGGGGAGTTCGGGGTGCTACTGGAAAAGTTCGGGATCTACCACGAATTCTCTCACCCCATCATCCTCAGATCTCGGGGCTCACCGAAAGGTTCCAGCGGACACTGAAAAAGGGCAATGGTTAGGTTGGGGGAGACCAACCCGTTTGAATGGGATGAGAATATCTGGGGAGGGTACCGGGCCTCTATCCATTCCTCCACCAAATTCTCCCGTTTCTTCCTACTCTATGGCCGCCACCCCAACATCACGGGTAGTACCTTGACGGAATGGGAGGTGAAAGAGCTGACCGGGCTATCCACAGAGGAGGAAGCCGATGCAGCAGCTGGGTCTATCTATGAGAGGTCCTCGGATAATGGAGCTGGCTCTGGCAAAGGCAGCTGAGAACCATGATAAGGCACAGGAGAAGCAGAAGGTCGACTTCGATCGGCATTGAACTAGTCTGGAGCCGATCAGGGTAGGGGATTTCATCCGGGTCAAGCCAACCAAGAGGGTGGCATGGGCGGACCAGGACCGGAAATACAAAACGCTCTTTCGGGTCAAGGAGGTAGAGACGTTCCATGTGACCGTGGAGGCCAAAGGGGGTTGTGGTATGACGGGAGTCCCGAGAAAACGTGAAAGTGGTGCAGGTGACCTTGTAAATTTGACTCACCCCAACATCTTCTAGGGGCAAAAACACACCCCTCCACCTCCTGACCCCTTCTCTATTAAGTTAGGAGCCACGAGATCGCGTCCGAAAAAGTTACATGTGTAATTTAATGACCAAATTCATCAGCTAAATTGGGCAGAGCCGAGAAACATCCAAAGGAAAGGTCGCTTAGGCATGCTAGGCCAATAGGGGTATGCCCCTTTGGCAAATCTTTGTTGAATAGGGCGCCCTAGCTAGGGTAAGAGGTCCGGTAGCCAATGACTAATCAGCTCGGGTCAATCCCTTGGTACGGACCTCGGTGGTAAAGCGCCTTGGCTAGGTTAAATGTTCCGGTAGCAAATCGTCTTAGGGCTTGACCCTTGGCGCGGACCTTGGTGGTAGAATGCGTTGGATCTAGACGGCAGCATATTTATAAGCTGCCAAGGTACCTCGGCCGGGGTATCTTGTCCGGATAGCGACCCGCCTTGGGCTCGACCCTTGGCTTCGGACGTACGGTTGGGATGCATTGAACCTAGGCGGCAGCATATCCCTGTAAGCCGCCGAGGAACCACAGCTAGGGTGAATCGGTCCGATAGCCAACCACCTCGAGTCCATCCCTTGGTGCGGACCTTGGTGGATACATTGGGTCTAGATGGCAGCATTAATCCAGTAGCAAATCACCTCGGGTCCGTCCCTTGGTGTGGAACTTGGTGGATGCATCGGATCCGGATGGCAACATTGCGATCTACCCTTGGTACGGAAGATGATGGATCTAGGCGGCAGCATATTCAATGCTATCAAGGCACCATAACCGGTCCGATAGCGGCCCGTCTTGGTACAGACATCGGTAAGCAATGCATTGGATCGGGATGGCAGCATTCCCTCTTACTCAGCAAAATAAACCGAGGGGGGGTATGGGGGAAAGTTCTAGGGAGGTTTCCTCGGGTAGATCCTCTAGGTATGCAACATGCATTGAGTGGTTTGGGAATGCCCTTCCACTATATGAACCTAGGGGATGCTTGGGTGTAAGCATAATCGATTAATAAGAATATTCTTGCCCAACCTATTGCTACCAACCTACTATAGTGGGATCTCTCTGAGCCTTCATACACTACTCAGAGGTGCTGCCGGCGGCCTAGTACTAAGGAGGTGCACGCTCTATGGAAGGATAGCCCGAGGAGTAGGGCTAGAGCTTCGCTTAGAGGACCCCAACCTAGTGGAGAGGCGCCTTAAGTACCACACGGGTGGTCTAGGACGGTCATAGCTACCCGACGGATGCAGGCTAAAGGTCAGGAAATTTTAAGAATTTCTACTTTTGAAGAGTGGGATAAAAGTAGTAAACCCTAACTAGGGTTGTACTCTATACTGAGCACCTCACTGTAGCCTAGCAGAACTAACAACATAGAAATATGTTTTGACACACCCCCTCAGGCAAAGTGAGGGATAGCCAACACAACTAACGGTCACAAAACTAGTCAGACAAGAGAACAAAGCAATGCAAAGTCCAAGGTGGATCTCAAGATCACCACTCATTCTTAGCACAAGCAAGCGGCCATAAGGCCAATTCACATGCAGAGTTATAATAGCAAGGCAGTACACTGATCACAACTTAGCAAGAGTAAACATGAAGGTATAAATATAGATATCAGTGTACCGTATGGCACCGGAAAAAAACACAGGCCTATTATTTAGCGCATGCGCTTCTATCTGGAGCAATGCGCTTATGGCCAATCCTCAATTATAAGCGCACCCCCTGAAAAAACTCGTTTAATTATAAGCGAATATAAATCTTAAAATTGAAATTGGTTCAAAACACTGTAACAATTTGTCGGAGTGTGTGACCCTCACCAGCACTTGCTCTTCTTCCTGTTGTTCTTCTTCAACACTCCCTGCTCTGTGCTGCCCTGCCTCAGTCACTCACTATGAACGTGATCACTCCCTCACCCCACCGGTTCCTTCTTAGTGCTGTGCCACCGCGTGTAGTAGCTAGGTTAACAGCCCTGCACTAGTATGAAAGAATACTGAACAATAGGCATCGAGTGAGTGGGCGTTGGTGACCTTACCCAACCTCGGCTTGCACATTTCCAATGTGCGGCTCGAGGTTGGGATTTGTTCGAATCCCACATTTCGCCCTTCGGTGCTTTTCCCCCTTCATCCCAACCGCTCCTTCATATTTCCCCCTTTCTGCACCCCTTTGCAACCGACACTTCGCTACTGGCTACACCTCCTACACTACTTCTTATCTATCTACCTCAATGCATTCTTAGCTATTTGCTATACTACTTCACAGCACCGCACTCTACTGTTATTGCATATGCATCCCTTGCATATGCGGTGACAGCTGTCGGAGTGTGTGACCCTCACCAGCACTTGCTCTTCTTCCTGTTGTTCTTCTTCAACACTCCCTGCTCTATGCTGCCCTGCCTCAGTCACTCACTGCCCCCTCCTGTGCCCGCGCTTGGGTAGCTCGAGCTCGTGTCACAGGACCAGCTTGCTGAGGCTTGCTCCCCCTCACCAGGGCTGTGTTGGTCTGGTGCTCCTTCAGCTGTGCCCCCTTTTCGTTCTCCAGCACGAGAATACCCGAGGGCCGAACTTCCTTCACTCTCCACCTCTCGGTCCCCACCCCGACGTCCAGCGTGTCCTGTTTTGCCCTTTTCAGGTACACCTCCTGCCCCTCACTTGCTCCCTTTTTCTCTCTCCTTCCCAACATCCCCTGCTGCTGGCGTTGCTCATAAAGGTCAGGAAATTTTAAGAATTTCTACTTTTGAAGAGTGGGATAAAAGTAGTAAACCCTAACTAGGGTTGTACTCTATACTGAGCACCTCACTGTAGCCTAGCAGAACTAACAACATAGAAATATGTTTTGACACACCCCCTCAGGCAAAGTGAGGGATAGCCAACACAACTAACGGTCACAAAACTAGTCAGACAAGAGAACAAAGCAATGCAAAGTCCAAGGTGGATCTCAAGATCACCACTCATTCTTAGCACAAGCAAGCGGCCATAAGGCCAATTCACATGCAGAGTTATAATAGCAAGGCAGTACACTGATCACAACTTAGCAAGAGTAAACATGAAGGTATAAATATAGATATCAGTGTACCGTATGGCACCGGAAAAAAACACAGGCCTATTATTTAGCGCATGCGCTTCTATCTGGAGCAATGCGCTTATGGCCAATCCTCAATTATAAGCGCACCCCCTGAAAAAACTCGTTTAATTATAAGCGAATATAAATCTTAAAATTGAAATTGGTTCAAAACACTGTAACAATTTGTCGGAGTGTGTGACCCTCACCAGCACTTGCTCTTCTTCCTGTTGTTCTTCTTCAACACTCCCTGCTCTGTGCTGCCCTGCCTCAGTCACTCACTATGAACGTGATCACTCCCTCACCCCACCGGTTCCTTCTTAGTGCTGTGCCACCGCGTGTAGTAGCTAGGTTAACAGCCCTGCACTAGTATGAAAGAATACTGAACAATAGGCATCGAGTGAGTGGGCGTTGGTGACCTTACCCAACCTCGGCTTGCACATTTCCAATGTGCGGCTCGAGGTTGGGATTTGTTCGAATCCCACATTTCGCCCTTCGGTGCTTTTCCCCCTTCATCC